ATTATTATTATTATTATAAATTATATATTAATAAATATTTTTAAAACTATACTAAAATGCTTGAATTACGTTTAGAAACTTGGTGGTAGATGGTGAGGGGGGGTAAGGCTGATTTCTCATATCCTTTCTTACCTTACTTATCCAAAAAAGTAGTTAGTCCCCCCCCCATTTAAAAATCCTGGCTACGCCACTGGAGGGGCCCATATTTATTATTAAGTTAAGAAACTTTAAATTTAATTACCGCCACAGGAAATTTTAATCAATTAAAGCTTGATAGTAATGATATTTCAATATTGAAGGAAAAATTTAATTTGAATACTACATTTGAGTCTGAAATTAAGCTCATTACAAATATGTCTGATAGAACTTCTATTAGAGGGTTATCAACTAAAACAATTGTAGTATGGCTGAATTGGTTATCAGAAAACGACCGGAAAACAATATTTTCAAACTTCAATAAAGCTTTAACACAATTTGCAACAATACCTGTGACAAGCTGCTCGTGTGAGAGGGATTTTTCTAAATTGTCTATTGTAAAGTCTAAACTTTAGAAACACTATGTTACAAGAACGTCTTGATTCACTGATGTTAATATTTATCGAGCAAAAGATGGCATCAGAAATCAATATTGAAGATGTAATAGATGAATTCAAAGCATGTGTGCCGATAAAAAGAAGACTTGAACTTTAGATTTTAAGTACTCTCCATAAAATAACAACATTATAAATATGTTAAAATTATTCAAAAGCATTCAATATAGTACATGCTTGATCTTAAATAAATAATAAATTTTTTTTTAATAAATATAAATCAAATTTCAAACTACTTATTTCTACAGTGCGTTGTTTAATATTCTACTGTAAAATTATGTGTGATTTTAGATTCTAAGGGAAGTAAAGAAGCTACGTAGTATATATGCAAAAACTTAGATTGTGATTTGAATCTTATATGCGTTAAAAGAAAATGCAAATAAATTAAGGAAAGATTAGATAATTTATTTGTGAGGGGCCTTATATTTCTTATTGCATAACCTGCGAATAAAGTCTGCGCACGCCTATGAATGTAGACAAGTACCTACTGTCTTGTTAGTAATTCTTAGATAGCAGTGGCAATTTAACTCTCTCCATAGTAGTCCCTCCCGAAAATATTTTCTGAATACACCACTGCCCCAGTCATATTTTTAGTTTTTTTTTCAATTTACATCCAATTTCACACTAGTCGATTAGGTTAGGTTAATTATTCGATCGCTCACCAATTGTTCATCGTTCTCCGTATACGTTACCATTTTTTACCAGTTACACCGTATTGTAAAAGTATCTAGAATCTAAAATCCACGGTGTTTCGACGATTTATTCTCGAGAGATCAAGCACCACTTGGCCTCATGGATAACCGGGCAGGATCTCCTGATTGAGGTGGTATCCGGCCTTTTCGACGAAATGACAATTTACCTGACGAATATTTTAACGAAAAGAAATCTAGGCAAACAGGTTTTATACATCAGTACGAATATTGTAGTGATCAAATTGTCTGTAATTTTAATTTTGTGTTTGTATTCGGTTATATTTATACGTGTAACCAATTTATAGTTACAAATCAATGATTAGTGTTCATCAAACGAAATAATGCACAAGCAGCTGCTTTGAGTGTGAAAAATAAAGCAACAGAAAAAGTTGTTTGGAAAATGTATAGTGTAGATTTATTATTTTCAATAAACATTGAATATTAATGTGACATATGAGGTAAAAACTATAATCATAATTTCAATGGATTTGATATCAGTAATTATTACAAATTGTAACCGTAAAATTCTATATAAACAATTCATAAAGTAAACACAATACCAAAGATAAAAACGGTATTTCTAATTCTATGACAATTATTTAATCAAAATTCATCATTTTCATAGTATTTATTCTATTTAACTACAAAAATTAAACCAATCCATAATTAATTTCCACAATAATATTTAACTAAAAAATAAAAAACCAAGATTGTCACTTAAAATGTTACATTATCAAATTATAATCATATAAATTTAATCAAAATCATAAAAATTAAATGTTTTACATAAAGAAATCATCCAGTTTAATATTCTTTATCTAATTACATTATAATCTGCCTAAAAAATATTTTACAAAAAAAAAAAAATATAACAAATATATGACATTTTTTTTATTCTAATATCAAAACCCATATTTTGTATGATTAAATATAGATTTTGAGAAATATTTTCATTGTAACAGACTGTTGTTTTTTTAATAGTGATAGTGTTTTGAACAAAATTATTTTTAAATATTTTTATTTCATTGGGATTATTTATCAGCTATAAATATACAACTATACAAGGTCAACACATATGTGCCTAATATTTTAATAGAAGAAAATTAAACTATAAATTACTACAAGTCATTTTGAGAATTAACATTACTTATTAAAAATACTTATATCAACACAAGATATAACTTTTATTTTCAAATTGGATATTAAATAAAAATATATTTTACCTCACATACACAAAGAATCATGAAAGCAAAATTCTCCTCTGAAAAATACTAAAAAGTAGCTCGGTTTTCTGTTATAGTGTTGGTAAATTATTTTTCACTTAATAAATAATAAATATACCGTGGAGAAAATATTTCTATTTACCAAGATATCACTTTTAGTGCAGATAATTATTATCAACCAAATAATAATAATTCATCTTTTTTCATTGAACTTTGATAGAACGATAAGAATTATATTTTTATTATTTTTAGATGAAAAAAAAATTATTACATAAAATGATCCTAAACAATCATGTAACTAATATTACTCCGACTAACTAGCAAATAAATTAAAACATCATGTAAATTCTTACAGAAATATTGCATACATTAAAAACCATGACTATACTCATTGAAAATGTATTTATTCTTGGTTAGTTTTCAAATGTAATTCTGTGCCTTTCAATTTAATTAATTGTAAAAAAAACTTATAAAAAACGCAACCTTATTTAAGCTAAAAAAAAAAATAATAATAACAAAATTTAATGATATTTTGTACTCCACCAAACTGTTAACACACAAAATGTTACTTCAAAAAACATTATTGAGCACTTAGAACTGCAGAATGTTAAATTAAACGAAAACTTGAAAGCATCTATCTTCTTGAATTTAAAGAATAAAGATAGTATGTGTAATAACAAAATAATAATAAACCAAAAATTAATAATAATAAGTATGTTAAACAACTAACATGCAATAATTTGATTACTTCCAAACAATTTAGTTGTTTAATTCTTAAATGTATTCTCCACATACAATAGTTATTTATAAAATCATTTGTAAATGATCATCTTATCCATTTGGGTTAATTTACCCCCCGAACAATTTAAGTATGAACCATGTATTGTTCGTGATGTCCGCAAACCATGCTCAATAATAAAAATAATCTGTTGATAAATCAGCACCAACAAGACGCTCCCACGTGATCATTGGCTGTACTCGTCCTTTGTAAATATTTTCAATAAGGTTGCTAAACATAATAAAAATATAATTCAATAACCTTGAATTAAAAAAAAAAAAAATTTATTTTAGACACTTACCTGAGAATACAATGTATTTGGTGGATTGTAAAATGATGTGACAGTACGGTCACCTTGATATGTTGAATCTTGTGAGAGTAAACCATCCATTTGAGAATGGAACTCACCCATCATATAACTGTCTTGGGATAAGTCAGGCTGAGATAATCCTGGTTGTGAAAGACTAAACCCAGGCTGAGACATACTCTGAAAAATATGTTATTCATAACACTGTAACTTTATACCTTTATCATTGACTAGTACCTGTGACATGTTCTGACTATATGGCTGAGAAACATCTTGTGTCATTGCTTGGCTAAGAGTTGAGGCACCGATTCCATTTGATTTTTGATTCTTCTGGTTTACTTTAGTCTTTAGACGACCACTAGTCATTGGAAGTCGGTTTGTACGTACATTTTGGCGATCTACAAACAAAATAAAAATTATATTTATAAATTCTTATACTTATTAATTAAACTAGTAAATTTTTACAATAATTTACAGTCAAGTAAAGACAGTACAGGTAAAAATGGGAAAATTAATAAGTATCAAATACTTACTTTGAACAGACTGCTGGTTAAAGAACCTAGGAGCCATTGAATTCATATTCATCACCATTCCAACTGGTATTCCTCCAATTTGTGGTTGAGACCGGGTGTCTGGTGTGATAAATGTTAATGGATCATGATTACGTGTATACAAATCTAAGCCCATTCCAACAGTGGGACCTATAGCAAAATATTTTCAATGATTACAAAAATAAATTAAAATATAATTATACATCATACCTGGTCCAGGTCTTGGGAAATATTGAGGTGGACCATGACCATTCGGTACATTTCCTTGATTACTACGATCATAAACACTACCAGGGATCAAAGCTTCGCGGGCATCATACATATGAGTTGTCATAAAATGAGATCCAGGATTTGCTGTATTCACTAACTGTTTAGGTTTAGACAACTGAATAAGCGACTCTTTTAAGTTATTTAATGGCCCTTCTACCAACACATTATTTGCTTTATAGTAATTTAATAAATGATTCCATAATTGTTGCTGAAATAAAATATAATTGGTTTTAATAAACTTAAAAATATATTTTAATTATGTAATTAAATTTTATATACTTTGGATAAAACTTTTGGATTTCCAACAATCAGTATGCCATATTTAGCTCTTGTCAAGGCAACATTTAATCGTCTTGGATCGTTAAGGAAACCGATTCCTTGATGTTCATTCGAACGTACACAAGACATAATAATCAAATCTTTTTCACGACCCTGAAATGCATCTACACTAGCTATTTCGATTTCTTGATAAACTTTAGCTGGAAGAGGCGCTTGATATTGCATGTATTGCACCTAAGAAAATATTAAATTTAACAAAGATGATAACATAATTGTAATTTAATACAAAAATTATATTGCATAATTAATTAATTTTATAAGTTTATAGGTTTATAAATTTAAGTTAACATTACACAATGGTCAATAATACTTACCAAGTATGCTCTCTGTCCTTCATAAGGAGTTATGATACCAATTTGATCAGGCTTAACACCACATCTCAAAAATCTGGTAGCAATCTTTTCAACATTAGCAGCTTCTGTTCTGTTCAAATATGATGTTCCTGAACCCGCGATTTCTTCTTGTCCTTGAGTCACATAGAATAACATTGGTTTATCTGCTACTGGCCAAGGGAACTCAATTTTACTTAATTTTCTATCATCTATAATTTTAAAATATTATTAATTAAGTTTATTATAACACAACTAAAACTATTATAATTACCAGCACAAACTCCATTTTGTAATGATCCTTCATAGAAGAAATTTGAAGGGAATCTTGATAGTTCTGGATGCATTCTATACTGTACTTCCAATCTGAATGGACGAATACCCAACACTACAAGACGCTCAAAAAGGGATTGACTTAATCCAGCTCTAGCTGCTTTTTTACACATTACCACAGGTCCAAGTTGACAATGATCACCAACAAGAATTAACTGTATATGAAAAAATTAATTAAATAAGAAAATTATAATTCAAAGTAACAAAATATAATAAATTACCTGTTTTACACCAAGCACAACTGGTACCATACATTCAGGTTCAGTAGCTTGCATGCTTTCATCGATCAATATGGAATGAAATTTAAATCGTACTAAACGTGGATCACCTGCACCAACACATGTGGTACAAATAACATCAGCAGCTTTAAGTAATTCTCGTTCAGCTGCTTTCTTAAGAGCACGATATCTTTTTTCATCAGCCATTGATAATTCACCAGTTTCATCTTTTAACTGTTGGAATTTCTGAAGCTCAACATTGCTAAACAAAGAACATAGTAATACAATAAAATGCAATATAACTAATATACAATGTCACTTACCAAGACATCTTTCGGACTTGATTATGAAGTGCTAAAAATGACACTGGAGAATCAATAGCTTCACGAGATTTAGCGCACACACGAACCACCTAAATAATATAATAGTATAATAATCTAAATGTATTACTATTTAATAAATAAATAATACTTTTAAACCGGTTCTATGAATTTTTTCTGTCAATTGGTCAACAGCTATATTTGAAGGAGCACATACCAAAACCGGTCCACCATTTATTTTAACCAATTGATATACAATTGTAGCAGAAGTTACAGTTTTACCAGTTCCTGGTGGTCCTTGTATTAATGATAGAGGCCGTTGAACAGCATGTTTAACAGCATACACCTATGGTTAATATCACAAGTTTATTTAACATTATTATAGGTAATAATAAATTAATGAAAATCATATTTTCAAATAATCAATAATTACTTGTGATCTATTTAAGTCAGGCAAATTTGGTGCTGAGAAATGTTTTGGCATATGTGATCTAAACATAAGGTCATCAAATTCATGGCCTAACAACCTATGATATATGTATGATGATACTGAAGACTCGTCAGTAGCAAATCTTTTCAATGAACATTGCATTCTAATCAATAAAATATAAATAGAAGTATGTTACTATAAAATGAATTAATTAATAAACACTATTCATTTTACTAATACCTGTCAAAAGATGTAGATTTCCATATAAAATCAACTACATAATTTGATGTTATATCAGTAGGTACACCATTGTTGATTTTTAATTCCAATCCTACATCTTCTCCATAATTGTCTGGTATTTTAATGACATGTCCAATTCCAGCCCAAGGATTTTCACCAGTCAATCTTAAACGCAGTTCATCTCCATGCATCAAACGCATATCACCATCGGTTTTAGCTAAATGAAAATAAGCAATAGTCTTTTTGTTTAATCCAACATCCCACCTGACAGTTATGTTCTCTTGAGTTTGAGATTCTTTCAAACGTTTATCATAATCAGCTTCTAATTTCACCAATGGTCCAAAAACATTTTGATATTGAAAACCATCTTCGTATCTAAGTAAAACAATTTGTGGCTCTTCATCTACACCAGGTTTATCAAGATCATTAATTGTTGCTTCATTATTCTCTTTCCAGAGTTCTTCAAGCTTGGCAATCTGAGTAGCACTGACATGTCGAGAACGTAACTGATCAGTCTCATTTGGTACTTTCACAAGCCAAGTCAAAAAGCAACGATCAGCAATCAATGGTTTCCATTGTTCTTGATCCCTAATTAATAAAAAAAAGTATTAACGTAAGTGTAACTCATACTAACTAATACTATTGTTATTTTCGTCTATGTAATCACTTTGCTGTAATGTGCGAACAAAGGCAAATTAAAAAAAAAAAAAAATCATAAAAAAAGTTTAATCCAAAATATTAAAACTAATGGTTACATATGTACATTATTATACATACATTAGAGTTTCCGACTTACATGAGGAGTAAACAAAGGAATAAATTAATAGCACTGGTAATAATTTATCTGATAATTAAATATATAAATAAAAGATTTATTAGATCTTCAGTGGGATTTAATAAAAACTTATTGTTATTATTAATTAAATTTGTTTCGATTAGTTTCCTATTGAACAGGTACACATTTTCTTACACATAATCACATGGAATTAACTATTTACTTCCCATATTAAAAATATCTGTGTACATGTGATATTATTTGTATACAAATATATTGATGTATTAAATATTTTATTTTTTTATCATATTTACTGCAAGTAAGTAATATTGTAAACAATTTTAATTCATAAACAAAATATGAAGTCAATTTATACTTGCACAGTAGTATGCTATTGTCTATACAAATATTTAAGAACTCATGATTACAACTTATGAGTATTAGGTATACTTAATAATAAAAATATACTTTTGTAAATGTACTGTACAATAAAGACCTTTGGATTATATCTAACAATGAAAACATTGTTTTATAATATTTGTTTAGAACTATTTGCGCCAAAACATTTTTAATTTTTTCTCAATAAGAGTAAAAACCAATTCTCTGTTCCATATTTTATATTTAAATATAAAACATAATATAAAGATGATAAATGCTATTAATTTATTTTAATCACAAATAAAATACCGTCAAACTTCAATCTGTATAAATAACAATACTATTTACCCTTACTATAATAGTTTTTTTTTTTTTTTTAATAAAAGCAAATAAAACTAAAAAAAAAAAACAATACTATTACCAGTTCATATCTTTTAAAGCATTCTGTGTGGAACATGGCTGTCTACATAGCAATATAACCACAGAGTCTGCTTTAGCTGGTATGAATCCAAGCACGAACACATTTTTAACACCACAAGAATAACATTCCAATACAGTTTCACCCAATGGACCATCTTTATGTAAAGTAACTTCCTTGTGCTTAGCTCGAACCAAATGATTGATTATATGTGATCCAGAAGTATTTCCACGTCCATTACAAAACCATTTTTTGCATATATTACACATAACTACGCATCCAGGATCATGAATACCACAATATTTGCATGCATAATATGGTAATTCCTAATAAACAAATTTATTTTTAACATATGGTATGTAAAATATTAGAGATCTCTTTTATTTTTTAAGCTAACAATCAAAAATTGTGATACACATCTATAAAATAAAATAAAATAAATATTTAGTTTTATACAGCTGTATAAGATCAATTCATTGTTAAATTTAATGTACAATAAAATAATAAAATAAAACAAAAATTAGTAAATGGTTAATACTTATAAAAAAAATAGTTTATAATAAGTAGGGCTCGGGACTTCTAGGAACTTGCATGTTTTTAAATAATTATAAAAAATATAGCTAAGTAATATATACATTTTTTTCATAGCAATACAAATTTATATTTAAAATTTATAGTTGCATTTTCGCATATTTGACCATTTTTCATTTATAAGTGCATATTTGACCATTTTTCATTATATAAATGCGTATTTGACAATTATTCATATGAAGCAGTAAGTTTTTAAATTTTATTAAAAAAAAAATTATAATTTATATCTTCGTATATCACGTGACTTGGAATTCAAGGTGTCTTATTGGTGCACTATTTGAATGCATTAAAATAATTATAACTACAAAAACCGTATACATTCTGCAAAAATTGAAGAATCTGCACAAGCTAAGGCTAACTACAAAAAATATCAAACATTTTAAATTAAAAAATGAATCTATTGATAAATTGCCTGTAGGTATTAGTAGTAATGACCTACAATTTTTAAAGTTTGCACCAATAAGTTCCGTAGACGTGTAACATTTCTTTTCTAAATATAAAAATATTTTGGCTGATAATAGGCAGTCATTTAAATTTTTCAACTTAAGAAAATATCTCATAGTCCAATGAAATGCACAAGGTTAGAAGAATTATAACTATATTAAAAATAAAAAAAATGTTTTCAATTTAATTTATTTTTAAAACCATTTTAAATATTTTGTTTTAGATAAAAACTTAATATAGGACGAAAACAAATTTGAAAAAAAGAAATAAATTATCTCAGATTATCATATTTATCATATATAAAAATATTATAATATATTACTAATTAATTTTTTTATTTAATTTATTATTACAAATATAATTTTTTTTAAATGCATATTTTAATAGCATATTTATTGATTCTTTAGGGCATGAATGCATACATATTTTAAGGTTTTTAAGGGTATGAAGTCCTAGCCCTAATAATAAGTCAATAAGAGTCTCGATTTGATATCTTTGTATATACCTGATGAATTTTTAATTTGAAACTTGTCAAACAATACATTAATAATCCAGGCTACACATTAATTTATTTCTATATAAAAATTATTTATTTATATAAATTTAATATGTAAATATATAATTTCAATTTAACAAAAATAAATTATCAAATTTAAAGAAAAAATCATTAAAAGTATAAAAAATATTTTAGTATATTATAAGAGCATTGTAGGTCTTTAATATATATATTTTCATACTAATTTTACCATATCATCATATTTTCCATACTTAAATATGTAACCATAATTTAGAAACCTTTAAAAGACATTACCTTGGTGAAAAATGAATCTTCTTCTTCATCCTCAAACTGCAGTTCACCAATCTTTTTAGTGACAGTTATGACATTTGTATCATCTTTATCGCTTTTATTGCTGAGCAACTGCATCTATATTCAAGAAATAAATGTCCATTAAAATACAATAAACCAACAACCACAACAATACTTTACAATCACAATTTAGATTGTGAACTCCAGAACAATAAAGTAACATACTCTATGTGAGGACGATGAATCCAATTGAGACATTGGAGCTTGGCTCTGCGAAGGCAACGTGAAATCAGTGAACTCAAACTCGCTGCCTTGGGTGTCCGCACCGATCATGTCGGCCTCTTCGGTCTCCAAGAACGTTAGAGTCTGCGAACTCGGTCCGTACGTGTCGACACTCATTGTGACCACTATTTTTGCACGGATTCGATTCAACTATACAATTACGTTCAGACTCGAATTAGAACGTCACGCAACGTTTAAACTCCAAGAAACGAGATGTGACAATGACAACACGCACACGACAAAATATTATGTTATCGGGTTCGGTTTAAACAGTTCAAAAACGGTACGTTGTCCGCGAACGGTTGTACGGCGCTAAGTAACCGTAATACTGCACATGTGTTGACAAAAACGCACGCAATATACAGAAAATAAAATATTATAATAATAATAACAATAATAATAATAATAATAGTATTATAATAATAGTAATAATAATATTAACTTAACGCGGTGCGAGACGACGTACACAATTCAGACAAAAAATAAATGAAAAGACGGCACACGCGCCATCAAGGACAATACCACTGATAAAAACGAGTCGTCGACTGCGCGCGATACTACCTGCCACCGAACTCTTATCGATCATGGAGAAAAAAATAGTGTGACACTGGCGCGAAACCTTTTTTATTTGTTTTTTTTTCTAACTCGTTTTGTTTAAACTCGTCCGTCGACGGTTTGAAAAGATTTTACAGACATAAAAACATTTTTATTTAAATTGTTAAAATTTAAAGAATTAAAAATTCTGCTACAACAGTGATGGTATTGCAACTTTAAAAATCATTGATTTCTTCCATATAATTGAAATTGACAAATTACATTGTATAATATTGATGAGGAACAAACTGTCTTCAGATTTCTTTGATCGCATACAAATTATACGAATTCATGGTTTATAATTAAAAAATATAACATTAGTAACAAAATATAAATAATAAGTATTAAACTTGAAGATCATATTTATTGTTTATAATTAACAAAGAATACTAATTATTAACATTTGATATAAACAATGAAATTAATTTAAATAATTAAAATTATATGGACACTTTTATTTGATTTATAAAAAATATTTACTTAAATTATTTGACGTGTTTACTTGAACATTTTACACAACTAATAATGTTTACTTAGGAGTATTAGAATCATCATCGGTTTGGTCTAATTGTGGTGAGCCTGAATTATCAACTGGTTTTTTAGATGGAGTTCTAGCAGTAGGAGATTCTTGTTTCTTTTGCAAAAGTGCATTGAAAAAACTAGCCAGCGCTCTTTCACTGCTGGGTGGAGGGTTATCAGTAATACGTTTATTAGCCAACAATGGTTTGGTAATTTCTATGGATTTTCTGGTAACAGGTGTTTGTGGTTGGGATATGTTTTGATTTAACAAAACAAGTTGTTTGGCTAAAAATCCTTGTTCATCTTCATCCTGGAGTTCATGTTCTTTATGTTGCTTCTCATATGGGAATGGTATAGCATCACTGTAATGTGATTCAGGATTAATTTTTTGCATATTTTCATAAAGCACTTCAATTTTTTTTAGACTATCCCAACCCGAGGGTACAAACACAGAATCTTTTTCTACAATTAATGCAGGCGTTTTAAATGGAAAACGATAAATTCTGAAAATACAAATAAATATAAATTAACAATCTTTTCATTTTTTTTTAAACGATATCAAACTAAATATTTTCACATTAAATAAAGACTATGAAAAATAAAACTTAATATCTAATTTATTATTTGAATAACATTAATTTCATTTTATCAATATAAAAAATATAAATTTATGACAAAGTACTTTAGAAAATTAATTGTTGTATACAACTTTTAAATAGTATAGGAAACTATATTATGATATTTATTTATTTTGAGTTAATTATCCAATAGAGAACTGACCATCAGAGTCAAGGAAATACATCTTTCTGCACTAGTAAGCTTACATGAGCTATAAAAAAACACTTATATTTAAATATTTATTTGTTGTATTAAAAATTAATTTTATTTGTTTAATTTAATCATTTATAATTTGAAAATAATTATGTGAAAAATATTGAATCTCCCTGAAATAATCAGTCCCCAGTAAGTTCATCTCTCTAAATATCTAATTGTAATGGATAGCAAGAGTATAATAAACTGTGACAATGCCAGGGATGCAAAGATATTAATTATTTCATTTTTATTCGACCTTATAAGTAAAATAAAAAAAATATTTTAAAATCTGTTAAGAACTTTCAAGCTTCCCATACCACTGTCAATCTTCTATTTATCTCAGTTAGTTATTTTACTATTAGTGTATGTAATTCAAGATTTACATATTGTGCACTTTGATTCAATATTTAATATATATTATTAATTATATAATATATTTCATTTTTTTTTATGTCAAACTATTTTTAGATTGAAAAATAATTTTATAATACACTTAACAAAAAAAAAACAACATATGTCAGTTGTACAAGTTATACTTAAAATAATAATATATCAAATTAATTCACCTTTTACACAATAAAATGATTTATATAAATATATATATATTTATACACATAAGCTAATTAGCTCCCACATTATATTTTATCATGAGTCAAATGAATATTAAAAAAATATTCCTATCATACTATATGAAACAAATGGTATAGATTATATGAATTTAAAATTATTAGATTATAAGACCAAATAAAACAAAAAAAAATGCAAGATTATAAAATTAAAATATACTGTAATCTAATTTACCTATGCATCAAGTATTTATAAAGAAGATCGCAGTTTTTGTCTTCCATTACAGATACATAAAACAAAGATGCTCCAAATTGTAAACAAAACTTTCGCAAACAGCATTGTATGTAATCAAAATGTTCTTCTGAATAGTTATTGATTTCTAAGTTCTTAATGCAATCAGTCATAGTTATAACAACAACAATATCCAAACCTAGATTTTTTGTTAAAACTCCTTCATTGAGAAGTCGAACCTTTGGGCAAGATTCATATGACAAATCTAAACATATTAAAAATGTATTAATATAAAGTAATCAATAGTGTATGTAGTATTTACTATCATGAGATGGGTAATCAATAATTCTATCGATGCATTTATCTCTAAAATGTTGTGTTTGTTCCATTCCTAATTTCAAACTGTCTATATGGTCTTGTAGTCGTGCCGACCAAAATTCTAAAGATTCCATAATTTTCCAAGGATCTTTCATGGAAGCAACCAAAATAATTGTAGTATCCTCGAAATTTTGTTCATTTAATGCAAATTTCATCAAATATTTTAATGACCTATCACCATCTAATGTCCAAACATTTAACTGAGCATTTTCATCTGTGCTGTCATCCCGTACCTATAAATTAAATTCATTAAAAATTTAAAAATTTTGAACTTTGAAGACAAAAACTGTCCTACTTGTATGTATCCATATTCCATTCCCCACCCCTGTTTTGAATCTTTCAGGCCTTGCAATTTAGTAACTAATGTTGTTTTGCCTGATTTACTATCACCCAGCAGTAATACATTTTTGTTTTCCGGCAATTTCTTTCGACTTTTATTTTGTACATCCAAAAGCAGAGTATTCCACTGATTGACATAATTTTCTTTTTCAGATAAAGTGCTCGCATCTAAAATGATTAACATTTGTATAACATAAAATTACGTTAGTTAACTGTTTAGAATGTTACTTACTCATATTTTTGGATTATTTTTATACTTAATTATCCTTATGAAAAAAAAAGAAAAAGTTACATACATCAAATATATCAACTTAATTTGAATTCAATAAAACAAGCCAGATTTTAAATGTTATTTATAACAAATTTAATTTTTAGTAAATTCATTATTAACAACTTATTATCAGGAATATTTATAATTCAATAATAATGATGATAAAATATTAACGTGTTAACAGGGGTTAACAAAACACGTCAAAACAATAAATTCCGGCGCCAAATTTCAAACGTCGCTAAATTATGACTTCCAATATCTCACACCACAAGAAATTCGCTGTGATTGCTATAAAAATACGATACCTGCATACGTACGTAGTGAGCTGATTTCAATTATGGTTTTGGACGTTACTCATTGCACGTATACCTACCTACATTTTAAAGCAAAAAACATATAAATTATACAATCAAATAATGATTTTGTTATACCTAATATTATTGTGACCAGTGGTCGAATCGTGAACAATTAAGCAGAGGAGCTCAGCTTTCTGATTGAAAAACGATTTAAAAACTGCGTTATATGTGCGCAATTATTTAACACAGACACGTGAAGGGCTTCGCATATATTTTGAATACCACTATTAAGCAGATGTAGAACTAGAAATTTTTACGCCCGGAGAAAATGTTAAAATTACACCCTTTCATAGACCAATAATCAAATACTCTTCTCGAGAATTTTTTTCTAATAATTTATATACAATCATACTTGTTGAGTTTTAATCTAATATCAGTATTTAACAAAGTTAAAAATATCAAATTAGTTGTTAATAATTATAAAAATTACACCCTTTACAATTTTACGCCCGGAGATGAATTCCCGTCTTCCATCCCCTAGTTTCGCACCTGATTTTTATCCACACAAATAATTAAATTCCAAATATTAATAACAAACCAATAAATACCAAATTATAACTGCATATACCAGATATTAAAATTTATAATTTTTCTGAAATTACGACGCCGTCGCTTATCGTAACTACCATAATCACCATGTAATATTTTATTATGAAAATATATTTTCTTATGTTTGCATAGCACAATTCTATCTATAACTATATATTGACGATCAAACGTAATTTCGGCAAACATAGACTGGGTATTGATAAGTGATAATACTAGCGGAACTCAACGTGTTAATAAACGAACACCAAAAATATTTCTGATATTATAAATCGTAATATTCGTTATAAAATTAACGTACATTCATAGGTGGATATTTGGGGGGACTTAATCCACCCCTGAACGTAATCTCACCACATCAAACGTCAAAAAATTGTATATTTTAATATTTGATATTTATAATTTTTTTTTTTTTTTTTGTTGTAATACGAAAATGGTCTGAAATATTTACTACTACTGGACTATTTGGAGTAGCTATTTAATATTTTATATTTTTATGTTATTTTTTTATATTACCTATATATATATATATATATATATATTTGGTGCCTCAACTAAAATAAAGTAGGAGTAGCAATTAATAGGTTGAAGCGTTTAAAAATGTCTGTGTACGCTAATGGATAAGACAAAAATGTTAAGTCTCCCCCCATGGATGTGACCAAATATCCTAACCTAGCTTATGCGTAAATCGAAATCCAAATTAATAAAAATTATTTTGGACATTAGTTAGGATGAACTTGGCGTACCCCGTTATATTAAATAAATATTGTGGGCAAAATTAAAATCCCCTAAAAAAATTAAATAGTAAATTGCCCTAATAGTAAACTCCCCTGAAAACATTTTGCTACCGTATTACATTTACGTAAACTCCCCTAAAAACAACCATCTAATTTAATTCCGGGCCATTGTAACACGCAAGCATTTCTTAATCCTTTCTCAAAATCAGTTACAATTTTATTTGGTTTGAACTCACTACCAATTTCGTTACATAGTACATTTATTGTTTGAAAACATTGTTTATAAGTTGATTCCTTTTTATCATTCAATAAACAAAATATTAAAGGAACATAATGAACATTTAAATAACCATCGAAAGTTAAGAATTAGTAAAAAAATTTAGCACAGACATCAAATGTTCCATCAAGATAAACAATTTCGGCTTGACAAAAAGCTCTTAAATTTGATTCACATGAAAAAATTATTAAATTATCTAGTATATTATTTATTAATACAAAATGTTCGTCTTGGATTGTTTTTATATTAAGTTGCTCAATAGCTTGGTGGACAGAGTTCCTATTTGTTAGTAAAGGAGGTAAAATTTTACGGCATGCATTGTATGCGTTTCTTTTAACATATTTTAAGTCAGTAATTTCTAATTTACTAGTTAACTGGTAATTTAAACATTGAATTAAAACTTTACTTGGTTTATCATGAGGATTATCAGATGCTTTTCTTTTTACTGATGCAGACAGCTGTTGACGCTGCATAATTTGTTCACTGCAAGATTCGTGCTTATGACATTCATTACTTGATGATATTATATTTGGTGGTTTTAAAATTTTTATAAAAGACATTTCTTAATACAACAACACCACTTCTTTTCTCCAGTTTAAATCAATGTAAGTTCAAAATAATATTTATATATTTTATACAAAATTAATGAACGACCGCGTTTACTGGTAACAAATCGAATTTCTGATATACCTATACTTATTAATTCATAAATAAATATAAATAATAAATATATATTTTATGTTAAAATATCACACGAAATACAAACGATGTTATACATTTATTATCGAATCATATATTTCAAGTAACGAAAATCGCATATGATTGACTAGGAAGGGAAAGAAGTTAGACCCAGGAATCTTAAACTAATAAAAATATATGCGATATCGTTTTACCGATATTACACGAATACTGTAGAAATATATTTTTGACAATAATTGATGGATAACGAGGGATTACTGTATTTAATATATTTTTTATACGTTTGGTACAACAATTCGATTTATACTTATCGTGAGTTTTTAAATATGGACTAACATCATAGTTTTTGTACTGACCTCTTCAATTATCAATCATCAAAAAGTACAAAATTTAATTCAATACCAATAATTCATAGCCAAAATAAAATCAATAAAAAGTATAAGAGACTATACTATAAAATATAAATGTTTACTCATAATGATTATTTGTATAGTATTTTTCTAATTATAAAATATGAATAAAGAAATATATATGCAATTAAAAATACGAATATTTTTGGAGGATAACTAGAACCGCCTCTATGTGGTGTCTTCTGGATTACTCTAAATGGTTCTAATGTTATTAGGGGAGTTTACTATTAAGGCAATTTACTATTTAATTTTTTAGGGGAATTAACATTTGCCCATTTCAAATACATAAAATTGATTTGAAAATTTGCAGGCAATTTTTAAAATAAAATATAACACCTGTAAATATCATAAACAAATCATATTTGTAATATAATATAAAAGTCTAAGGCATACACAAGAATACTTTTAGGATGATTACTAAATAATAAGAAAATATTGATAGACTAAAATAAATTAAATTATTTCAAGTGTGATTTATACCAGTCCCTAGGTATATGAGTAGGTATAATACCTAAAAAAATATTTTAGGGCAAAAAAAATTATTGCTATTGTTTATTATTATTATTAGAACCCAAGATTAAAAAGTTTGATAAACTTTACTTCAAAAAACTCATTTCGTTAAAGGTACAAACACATAATCTAAGCAATATTAAATAAATGAAATTCTAAAATATTGCTGTCACCCATTTGGGTTCAATCAATAGGAAAATGTTCTACCTATGCTGTTACATAGTAGTATGAAGGTTCCGCAAAATAATTTAAGTCCAAAATGTAATTATATATTATTTATTGAGTGGTTTAACAATACTTTAAATGCATTTATTATCACTAAAAATTACAAGTTGAAATCAAACTGCTGGACTATGCTTACGAAAAAAGTAATTCCAAAATAGAAAACTTTCAAATGTTCAGGGGTTCGTGGTACTATCATTATAAATTATTAATGATTTACATATATGTACATAGACTTGAAAATTAGTCATTAAAATAATTTATAGCATTAAATATTAGATAAAAAAGTGTTTGAATTTTTTTATGTACTCGTATATTATAATGTATTATACATGATTAAAATTCATTCAAAATTTTTTCTCATATGATTTTTATTGGAAATTTTAAGAGGGAAAAAAACAAAATCATACATAGGTTGAAAACATACAAAACTACAAAAAAATGTATAGGTAAGACTGCACAGTATATAATGCTAAAGTATTAACATACAATTTCCTATCTACAAGGTTACAAATTTTTTTACTCAAATGTTTAAGAAAATAATTAATTGATTCTTAATTATATCAATTTTATGCACCAAATAAGATATTTGAGTACTAAAATATTTGTTTAAACTGTAGTTATAAGTTTTAAAAATGACAACTATTTAAAGTACAATCTAGAATATAATGCTGTTTTAGAAAAATAAGACCACATTAATTTAACATTTAACAATTCTACCGTTATAATAGATTTTACTATCTTAAACTTTTCAAAATAAAACAAAATATATTTTAGTAACAGTTTATTATTGCAATTCTAAAACAAATAAATAATTATGAAAATAATACACTATAAAATTGAACAACAGACGGAATGTTTCAGTGAAACAAAAGCTAAAACCAAAATTAAATTTCTTTGATGGAATTTAAAAAAAAATAAAAGAAAAATACTATTAGAAACACATCATTCTTTATTGGCAGTAGCTTTGAAGTTTTTGTGCAGCTCGGGCTTAATGTCATACACAAGTTCAAGAATTTTCTCAATGACAGCCTGTTTATTGACAACTACAGCCTTATTCATCTCTTCAATCTTTACCTTAGTGTCAGCATCTATCTTAGCTGCAACATCTTCCCGAGAACCCATATGCTAAAAAAAAGTGTTCAATTTAGAGAAGAAAACATATTATGAATCAATTTATTAGTTTACACTGTAGAATAATAAGAACTGTAATCAAAGTATGTTATATAATTTTAAAAATCAAAATTATTTCCATAAAAATGTAATTAATATTTAAAATATTGAAATTAAATCACCGCTTTGCTGTTACCTTAATTTCAAATTCTTTAAATTGTTTTTCTCTTTCTTGTCTATATTTTTCAATTTCATCTTGAGCTTCTTCTTTAGCTTGCTTTAAACGCCTTGCTTTGCCTAAAAATAAGTATAGAATAAAGTACACACTGAATACAAAAACTGTTAAAGCTATACTAACCATGCATGCATGGATAATTATAATTATGTAGCTTTTATTAGTGATTAAGTAATTATATTACAAATTCTTATAAAACCACACCTATTTGTATATGTTATTTAATATAAATTACTTTATTTCATGTTTTTAAATTATAAAATAATAAAAATTAATGTAATAACACGAAAATCAAAACATTTTGAAATAAACAAGGTGTGGCATAAGATCGTCAATAATTGTTCGCCAAGTATTTACAATTTGTGGGACATTTTAATCGGAAATAGTAATGGGATTCATAGAGCGACAAAAAATTATAAAAATTGTTTAAACTTCAATAAAAATTTGGGAATAAAAGTTTGGGACCAATAATTAAGCCACGCCTTAAATTATTGAATACTTACGTTTCTTGGCTTCGGCCACCTTTTCTGCAGCCCTCTTTTCAGCTGCTAGCAACTGTTGAATACCTTGCGTCTGGCTGGCCATAATTTACGATTTAGATGAACTTAAAATAATTGTAATCGGAAATTTTGAAGAAGAAAGTCAGGGAGTCGGAATGAACCAAAGAATATGATACGGGAGAATCGAGACTTATCGTCTGAACGGTAAATAAATGAGAATATGGGTGTCGCCAAGGTTTCGTACAACACAATCAGCTGATTATCAGTTGCCTGACGTGATATATTTTTTTTTTAATTTATCCATGAACATTTATAACCTTATAGTAGGCCGATAACAGCCGTGGTGTTGTGTGCTTGGAAGCGGCGCGAAATAATACTTTATCAAATCTTTTGCTCCCAGAATTACCAAATGAGAGACAATTATATAATTATGAATTCATTTTAGAATAATATTCTGTTTTTAGTCGGTCTTTAATTTCAGTTGTACAAAAATTATGTCGTTCGAAAGCTTGGCAAAAGATCCTATGTGAGTGTAATAAAATATACTCGGTACATATTAAAGTTAGATTGTTTATATTGAACAATTTTGTTTTCAGTTTTTCATCGGGATTTGTACTGTTGAACGAAATTGATGACAAAAAATTTGTTCGTTTAGTGGACAGGATGTTTAAAGATTTTGAACCCAATAGATCTTCATTATTTACAGAACATGAATTGGCATCTATAGAAAAATCATTGAAATTGAATAGTGATCAATGCCAATGTATACTGAATTGTCTAAACCGTTTGTTAAAACAAGTAATTCATCGCCAAAATTAAGTAATATCAAAATCTCTTCGACCATGATAAAATTATGTTTACTTAGGTAATAAGTGATGTGATCAAACCTGTTGTATTGAAAAGTGTATTGTCCAATATATTTTCCTTTAATGTAAGCAAAGTTCAATTGTTTTGTAACTGTTGGACTGCTAATGCTGAACAAGTAGTTTCCAGGCTTCAGCAAAACTTCACTCATTTTTACAGGGTAATCACAATTATCTTTCCAACCTAATGCTGCTTTTCAAATAACAAATTTGATTAAATAAAATCTTTCTTATGTTTTTATTTAGTTAAAGGATGTGAATTGGGCAATACATATTTCATCAAACGTAGGAATTGAATTATCTGATCCAGAACCTAGATGCTTAATAGAATTTAAAGTAGAAGACAGTTTATGTAATGATGAGCATAAAACCAAAGAAATTCTATTGGATATGAATGAAACAGAATTGAAGAAATTTTATGATACGTTAGAAACAATTAAAGTACAAATTAATACTGCTTCATAGTAATAGTTACAATTTTAATTGATAATATTATTGATATTGTCAATTGATTTATACAATATTGAAAATATTAAATTTTAAATAATTTGGTTATAGTTTTATTTTAAAAATATATCTTATATTATTTAATGATACTACTAATTAATAATTATTTTTAATGAATTAAAATAAAAAATGTAATTGTTTAAATATATATATATATATTTATCCACTGTCTTGGATATTTTTCCTTGAGTACCTATCAACAATTTAAATTTTATTATTCTATGTATATCTAAAATAAAAATTCCATCCCTAATCATAATTTAAAATTTTTTAAACTATTCAGAAAATTATATATTTTATATAATATATCTATAATATTGGTTAACATTTATAAGCAGTGGACCTTACAAATTTTTGATTAGTATATATAATTGATAGTATATACCACTTGTAATCCACCATCCCCATTGACAGGTTTATGTAATCCACCATAAAATAAAATTTAATGTTTATAAAATATGCTTATATTTAAACAGATATTCGTTCATCTTATGTACTTGATATATTAATGTATTATACTCCAATGTAATCTTTTAAGTTACAATATTGAATTTATTATAATTAATCCAGTATGACTATCCATCAACCCACTACCAAATTTTAAAGGAGCAATTTCTCCAAAAACAATACCTTCAATGTAATATTTTTAAGATGATACTCTAGACCACATGCATTATATTCAATTGTATAGTTATATTGAATTTGTTTAGCAATGCTAACTAAAAAATCTGTTCAAAAATCAATATTATACACCAATTGACAGTATACCTTTGAAAATGGAAGTCATTTAGTAGTCCTTAGTTAGGACATTAATTAACAATATCTACATTGAAACTTGTTTAGTGAAAATCATTTTAATTTTATATAAAATATAACTCAATAATAATATTTATAATAATCAATGGATGCAGCAATATTTAATTTTAAAAATATAGTTAACAATTATAATTTCATGGGCTATTCAAAATGTAGAACTGTATTCAATATGACCTTAAAGGTAATAAAACTAATTATGAATTTAGATACAATGGAAGTCAGATATGCGATAAGGTCGATTGCATCATTACCATAAGCACACAAATAGCATTTACTTACAATATTAACATGTAATAAAATATAATATATTAATAACAATACAATGATTTTTTACAAATGTATGGAAAAATATTTATATAATAAATAATAATATTTCAATGTAACTATTTATATAAACTGCAATTGTTTACCATTAGGTAATGGTTCAAAATATTGGTCAATAATTTCATCTTTTACGTCTTCTAATGAAGATGGAGACCATTTTGGATTCTTATCTTTATCAATCAACAACGCACGGACACCTGTAGGAAAAAAAGATATATTATTAATTATTTTGTTTTGGCAGACATAAAAATAGAAAATACCTTCAAAAAAGTCAGAAGAATATTTGGCTTCAATACTTCTATAAGCTAGACAATATTCCATTTTTAAACATTCGTCTAAACTCAAATTTTTTCCTTTCAATATTTCTTTTCGAGTAATCTTTAGTCCTGTGGGACTAACTTCTTTAAGCGTTTTAAGTATTCCTCGTGCCCAATCTGAGTTATCTTCATTCAAAGCATCAACAATTGCTTCAACTCTTTCATGGCTAAATATTGAATTTATTTTATTCATGAGCGGTTCCATGGTGAACTTTACATCGTCCAGGCTGTCCGTGTTTTCCCTAAGGACAATCTCTGGATCCCGGATGTCTTCAATTAGTTTGGTTTTTAAACTTTCGATTTTTGAACTATTGATGTAATGTGTGGCAATACCCGCTTTGGCCACATCACTGCCTTTTAGCCTTAGCCCAGTTAAACCTAGTAGCACTCCAAGATTTCGGTCCATTCTGGACAAAATGTAACTACCACCAACATCACAAAATAATCCAATTGCTGTTTCTGGCATAGCGAATAGCGTTTTTTCGGTAGCTACCCTGTATTTTCCATGCGCAGATATTCCGACACCACCACCCATCACAATACCGTCAATTAATGATACATAAGGGATTTTGTATTTACCAATTGCACTGTTCATTGAATATTCGTGGTTAAAAAATTCCGTACCCATTTCAATTGATTTAGCGCATACACCATTTTCAGTGATAGACTTCACGTCACCCCCAGCACAGAAAGCTTTCCCACCAGCTCCTTGGACAATCACCATTCGGACTTTGGACTCATACTCCTTGAGTTTCGGGTTGATTTTCTTGACCATTGAAATATTAAGAGAGTTCAACGCTTTCGGCCTGTTAAGGGTAATTATTCCAACATCGTTTTTAATTTCAAACAATACGTCATCCATGACCGTAGATAAATATCGTTTTAAAATTCTCACGTTTGACGAACATTTAAGGCAAGAATAATAAATCATCTGTAAACAAATTTATACAATTAACATAGATTATTAGTCACATTACGTATAGTGTTGAAAGCATTTTTTTTTTTTTTCATGTAGTTCAATCATTTTAATCAAATGCGTAATATAAATAGTTCGTGGATTACACCGATACGGTTAAATTGTCAAATATTGTAAATCAGTACTTACCTTTTCGATACAAATAACTGTGTACGAATTTACTGTGACAATAAAAAGACTTGATAAATTCGATTTCGGCGTGTATACGTAAAGGTGGTTGTATAAAACAACGAATCGATTGAATGCTAATCAAGAACGAACTACGGTCAAGCGCTTATGATGTTAGCAATTTATATTGACCTGCAGGAGCGATTGGATTTTTATAATTTTTTTTATACGCTTTTCGTATAGTGATACACTTCTATAACTATTATCAGTCGAATGTTATCTACGCCCGTGGGCCTATAACATATTTTCCAACCTAACCTTTATAAGTATATCGATGTTCTGGGGCTTATCAACAGGTATTACTTTATCACTTAGTCACTGAAATAGATTTCCGATAAAGTTATTTTATGACTACTATTGATGGAGGAAGTGTCGAATGATATAACTATTTTTTATCATGTATTCAAGATTGCTTCGAGTTTTCGTGTCCGAAAATGAATTCGCTGCCAAAGCGTTACTCAGACGCAAATATTGCCGTCTCTTCACCGGGCGATTACCGTTTGAAAACTGTTCGCTACTACAAAATCGAAAGGGATTCGACCTTCGAGAACACCTTTCCAACATAAAACAGTCGTGTCTCCTAAAAAAATATTTTTCCTCCAACAACCAGTAATAATGTTTCGTCATTATCGAGTTATAATTATGTTTATTTCTTTTATTTTGTTCTCCTTTCAGGACTGAAAAAGAATTTGAACAGGCGTGCAATGAAACATTAGAATCTTTGTGTGAATATCTAGAACACATTGTTGAAGATAGTCCACAACTTGATAACCCTGATGTGACACTAAACGTATGTATATATTTATAAATTATGAACATAGTGTTTACATTATGGTTTCATCTTGTATACATATAATTTTAAATACATTTTTAATCATACAGGATGGTGTATTGACCTTACAATTAGGTGAACCTTATGGAACATACGTTATTAACCGTCAGACACCGAACAAACAAATTTGGTTAAGTTCACCAACAAGTGGCCCTAAACGATATGATTTAAAGTGTTCAAAATGGATTTACAAACATGATGGTGTTAGTTTGCATGAATTATTGACTAGTGAACTATCCCAAATTCTTTCAGTCGATGTCAATTTTTCTAAATGTGTATTTGGTGGTGCTTCATGCAAATAGTTAATTTTATTTATGTACTTATACAATTTTGAATTAAATATTGTTAATTATAATGTTAAACATATATAGGTATTATTTTATGAATTAGAAATTATAATCCTAACATTTTGAATGCTATAATTATATTTGTGATATTATTAGACATATTATTAACTAATAAAAATAAGAATATTTTTACTGTCTTTTTAGTAGACATGTTTTCTCATTTCTAAATTATTAGTTTTTATCATATCTAGTAAAAATATTTACATGATAATACCAGAAATTTAGGTTTAAGCTATATGGTATTATTTAAAGTGTACAATAAAACTTTTCTAAAGGACCCCTCTGAAGACAAAATTGCAATATTTTAAAATGGCAATTTTGAAAGAAATAAGTGCTCTAATATACTGAGTTTTTCAATCTTTGTTTTATATGCTAAGTTGTTGGAATCAACAATAGAAACTCAAAAAAGTGTTACCCTTAGTCATCGGAAACAAATTAATATCTCTAATTATTTTTCTAAATTATAAATTTAATAGCTAATGAGTAATAAAATATTAAAAGTGTATTTATTATATATATCTCATACATTGTATACATTGTTTCAATGTACTTCAACATGATATTTGTTTTGGAATTATACATGCTTACCTTTAATTTTAATTTTTTCAAGACTTTTTTTCAATCTCTTTTTAACAGAAACATTTTATCCCGGAAAAATTAGTTTGTCCCAATAATATAGGTAGGGTCTGTAGAACAAAGTGCAATTATAGTATCTGTTCCTTTTTTTAGACATGAAAAAAATTAAAAAACTTAAAAATGTATTTTTTATATCCAAATATTATTAAAAATTTACAATAAGAAGTACATAAATATATGTATTAAATGTTTAATAATTATTATTACAATAATCTTAAAATGCTTTATTAGTGTCAAATTATTTGCTGTACCAAACTACGAATATAAACGAACTAAATTGTTAAGACTTGAGATTGGTATTTATTACACATGGATACATTTTGTCTTTCGATATAATAATCTGTATGTAATTATATATCATATGTAAATGGATATAACATAGGTATATATATTTTATAATGATAAGTACTAAATATCATTATGCGATACATACCGCAGTAGTGCGACTACGGGGGGTTCTTAAGTGGGTGGAAATCTTTTTGGCTAGTTCACTTTTCGACCATTCTGAAATGTTATTTTTTTAAGTTTTTCTAAGTATACTATTTTAGTTACCAATTTGAAATTTTCTTTTCTCATTTTTTTCCTGTTAAACTATTAATTAGTTTAATAATAATATAATATTATTAACTAATTAACAATTTATTTTTAAATCACATATTAAGTCAAGTAAGAAACATAAAAAAATGTATTTATGTTTTTGAATTTATAAATCTATTTATACAAATTAAATATATTTTTACAATAAGCTAAATTAATATAAGAGTAGTGAACGAATTTCAGTCTAAATTGTTGAAGAACCCATCCAGTGGTAGAACATCATAACAGTGGACAATTTTAATAATTTAAAAGGTCTCGACACCATTTGTGTGTTTCAAACTACTTCTGGGATCACTAGGGATGATGAGAACATATACGTTTGATACAAGAGGTATTACGGTGGTTGGGTAGATTTGAGTGGAAGCGTTTACAGAGAGTTTTAATGTGGAGTAGTTAAATATAGAGTGTGTCGTTTGAGAAAAAGAAAGGAGCTTTTGTAATTTGACGGAGGCATTTAAATTGAAAAATAAAAAAATATATTCAAAAATTTAAAATTTACATTAAAAAAAAAACTCTCCTTTCTCTTGAATTTTTACATACGATTCCGTTTTCATTTATAATATTCAACTAATAGATACATAACTGGAGGGAAGGTTTTTAAAAACATTTAGTCCGTAAATACTTTGTCTTTTTCATTAAATTCCGAATAATTTTCTATTGAATTTTTTTTAGTCGAATAAGTATGGCTTCTGTGACCTCCTTACGACTTGTATTAATAATTATATGATCAATAATTTTTGTTTTATATGGATTATGAATATAATCATATTCACCATCATACACATTTTTTTTTAATCTCGTTATTTTAATTAGGTAATGACACCTAAAATTTAATTTGATCGACCGTCAACGTGTAAGTGTTGGATTCTCCATAACACAATCAGTAATCTCTTTTAATATATAGAAGACATTTCTGGGATGGAATATATTAAAATCATGTACTAGAATTATAATAACTTTTTTAAAATCGATAATATAATGCAACCTTATATTTTTGATACTTTTTATTTAATTGAATATGTAATTTTAAAATAAATTATAAATTGTAAATGCATAATATATGATTGTTATATAAATTGGTACTTTAACAGAAAAAAAACGTGAAGAATATTTAAAATTGGTGTCCAAAATAGTGTATTCATCGAAAACGGTCATTCCAGAATGGCCAAAAGTGAACAGACCGATAATAAAAAGGTTAATTTTGGACGAAAAGTGTCCCGCCTACTTAAACACCCCCGTGTTCCATATCATTATAAATTAAAAATATCTATAGTTAATGACACTGTCTCAGATGCGACGGAAAGTTTGCGTTTATTGACAAATTTGCATTGATATTCTGATATGTCACGATCACGTGTTTTTAAGAGATATAAACCATTTTTTGAAGGTCGTAATGAAATTAAAGACAACCAACGTGCTGATCGTCCATGCTTGTCAAAACTTGACGATAACATTTAAAAAATCAATATCATACGAAAAGATCAGCGACTGAGCATTAAAATAATAGCTGAAACATTTAATATGGATCATAATATGGAATAAGTTAATAGGAATAGTTAATAAGGAATATGAACTGTTAGAAAAATGTTCCATAATCAATTTAACATGACAACATTTTGCGCTAAAATGGTTCCTAAAAACCTCTCTCAAGTACAAAAATATGATAGTCGACAAATTTGCACAGGCATTCTCGGACGGATGAGAAGTGAACCAAATTTGTAGAAAAGGATGATTACATTTGATGAAACTTGGATTTTCTAATACGATCCTGAAACTAAGATGTAGTCCTGTATTGGAAAACTTTCGTTTCATCAAAAATAAAAAAAGTTCGAATGAGCAAATAAAAATAAAAGGCAGGTCTTATTCTAAAGGGCAATACGACCCAAATTGGGTAATAGAAAAAATCAAAAGGGCAGTTGACTTTATGAATATGGGCAACTTACAAAAATATAATTTTCCTTGTAGAATGATAGAAGTTTTACTGAGTATTTGAAATTTATGTAATACTGTGTAATATTTATGTACCTAATAACTAATAACTATGTAAGTTTACAATCTTTTTTACTTTGATGATTGATTAATCTATGAAATTTAAATTTAAATAGTGGTATACGTGTAACGGAAAAGATCCTCATTTTTTTTTAATATTTTATCACGCGATGGTCAAAATTCTAAAATATTAATACACAATTTATTTGGGGAGTGGGTGTCATAATCTAAATAATATTCATAAAACAAGCTTTTTAATGCTTTTGGGCAGTAGGTAAAAATCCTTAGAATAAGCCCTGATCAAAGGGTATTTTGATCGTATTTTTTGATTTTAGGAGTAATTATGATTGAATGAGTACCTCAAAGACAAATTATAAATCAACAATATTATTTACAAGGCTTGACAATACTCCAACAACGAGTAAGAAGAAAGCGTCCTGAATTATGAAAAAACGAATTGTGGATCTTGCAGCAAGGCAACGCGCCGGCTCATAATGTTTAAAATATTAATATTATATTAATGCATTAATACAGTTTCTGGCCAAAAATCGGATTCCAATGCTACAACACTCCCCATTACCCCAGATCTTACTCCATGCGACTTTAGGCTCTTTCCAAAATTATGAAATGCGTTAAAAGAGATATATTTTGAGTAGTTGAAACTGTAAAACAAAATCAACAGAGATTTTTAAGGCACTATAAGAAAACAATTTCCAATACTGTTTCAATCAATGAAAAATACGAATGGAGCGATGTATTAAATTAGGAGGAGAATATTTAAAAGGGAAAAAATGTAAATAAAATATTTTTAAGGTGAATGTCTCGTTATTTAATAGCCATAATAATTACCATAGGCTATGTGGGATTTAGGTAATAAAAATCATTCACAATTTAATTTAATTAAAATAAACAATATATTACATAAATATGTATGTACATTAATGTGAAAAACAAATATCGATACGCGTTACAATTACAGAGGAATTGCCGAATATATCGCGGAGAATGTTGCGGAGTGTAATTCACGGTGTGTCGTGGATTGTACCTACTCACAGACTGACTGAATAATTAAGGGGAAGGTCCGGGGCAGTCACCCCCATGGCCTTCTTTTCTTCAAATTGTTTTTATTTATTATTTATATCATTCTAAGAAAATACATAAATGTGAAATACATGTATAATGTTCACCTATCTATAAAAGGGTTTAGGAACACTACTGACCTAGACTGATCCTTCAATTGAATAATCAAGATAGTTATCAAGAAACTAAGCTATTGGTAATAGACTTATTTGAGTGATAGCCAAACTGTTCAGGAATAAGGCATGAAGACATATTCGAAGATATGTTATCAAGGAGCTAACCTAACCAAATTATTCTATCGTCATTTTTGAAAACAATCTAAGAAAACATATAAATTTTTATTTTCTATAAAAAAATCTTTTGAAAATTATACATTTTATATTAATTTTTGAAGGGGTGAACGCAAGAAAAATTTCGGAAAGGGTTTTGAAAAATTTAAAATTTTGATAAAGCATGCTTTTTGTAATGTTAAATAATTTTAATTTTTTAATGTTTATATATTTTTGTTTCTCAGACAATTAACAAAAATATTTCAATATCAATAATCATAGAAGTAATTATCTATTAACATGAAGTCGAGTACGAATTATACTAAACCCATAATATCTAATATTTTATGTCTATTTATAATTTTATATTCTTATTTCTTAAAATGCATGCATAAATGTAAAAATGTCGAGTGATAAATTATGCCAAATTTAAATATTTTTACATTATACG